AGTGTCTATTGCCTGGCTGCATTCCCTAAGAAGCCGGGAGCAAACCAGCGCTTGGCTTCTCTTGTGATGAGAATGCTGTGCTGTCTTTCAGCAGGTCTTAGTTTCAAGGAGTTTCATGTTTTTATAAAGCTGCCCTGTATGTTTTTGGGAAGGGGAAAGACGGAGGGTTTGAAATCTGTTTGTAGACAGTTGAGAGACAGATTGCCATTTCAGAGGCCCAAGAACAGGTGCTTGGGGTAAACTGTTTTGCAAGCCCTGAGTTAGGATTGGGCCCATGATGGCTTGAGACGTCCTTTGGGAGGACTTGCTATGACCCAAAGACCTGAGTAAACTGTTGGGTTTCATCTGAGCTCTTCTGCTTGTTTGCGAAAGAGTCTTACTTCAAGTTTGGCATCATCTTCCCAGTGAGCTGAAATAACACAGACACTGGTAAATGGTGATTACACAGTAGCCACAGCTGAATCAACAAGACTTGTCCAATAACATATAGGATGGGGAAGGACTTTGTGTGAAACTCAGGAATAAATTTTCACTGTATCATAGAAAATGTGGGCAATGAAATGGGCAGTTCCTGTGAGTTTACGATCACTGATAGTCAGGGAAATGAACAAATTGCAGGAAGGTAGGGTGGTCTTAGCCCTAGTTAACCCTCTGGTAATTCACTTGTCTGCCCGTTTGATTTCTGGCAGGGGACCAAAGCAATGCAGAGGTGTTTTATCACTAGAACTACATTTATGTCTACCCAAGTAACACAACAATTGGCTTTGAGAACTAAAATTAACAAACTCAAGTATCAGTGTAAGTGTACCAGCCATCAAACCACAGGGGCCATCATAACTGAATGAATGAGTGTTATTTTGGTCTTGCTGGCATAGTAAATGTGCTGATGGTAGTGGGGTTTCTATTGTAAAGCCTAAGAAATCAAGAGTAACACCAGGTCCATAAAATCTGTACCTGCTTTTCTCTAAAGCCACATGAGCAGATCTAAAATATTTCCCTTAAAATACAAATATTTAGTGGTTCATATAATAATTTTTTCATTCAGAGACACTAAGACGCTAAAGACTTCTTAAGGGGAAGAAGAAACCGGAGGACAAATTAGTTAAATATTCTGAGAAAGGTTTTGAACTAGATTGGAGTTAGTGCTATTGGAGAATATTTTCTACTTTTCCCTATGCTGGTCCTGAAACTAACATGTACAGATTTAGATTTGTAAATCCAAAAAGCTTGAACCCTTTATAGTGACTGATAGTCCTTTATATAGTAGAATGATGCTTTCTACTGTATATATGTTTGTACCTGTTATTAGCTTTCCTGTCTTGTTTTTCTTCATGTATTCCAAAGCACTCATATAGTCATGAGAATTTTCTGCATATATCAAGTTTACAGTCTTCAACTGCCAAAAGAATGTCATAGTCTTTGTTGTGCTCCATGCATGCATGAAAGGAGTGCATGAGTAAACATGATACCTTTCCATTTGCAGTTGTCTTTTGAACAAACCTAAAATAACTTTTGCCCTCAAGGGCAGATGTTGCAGGATCCCATGGTCCTGAAGTGCCGTTCAGTATTATACAGACTCAAATTCATTGAAAACACGTTTATAGTGAAGAGTAAGGGAAGATGCAAATTGACCATGGTACAAAGCCCACTGTGGCAGATGTTACTGGATTCTGTAATGCTGAATGCATGTCCCACCTCCCCCTTCCAGATTGGGCCTCTCTGCCTTGGGTTTATGTCCTGTAACACTTAGTTCATCCATATTTCAATCACACTCCAGATAAATATCAAGCAATCATATGATACTGTTTCCTGAAAGCACATTTCAGTTATGAATTTTGTGAAATTGTTTTGTTGTTTTTTGTTCTCTGAAAGCTAGAATCAAATAGAAGTAAGACTTATTCTGATAAACTTCCAGGAAACATTCAGAGAAGAAAGAAAAAAAGCAGAGCTCTCTTTGCTGTTGCACAGACTGTAACCATGGACCTGCGTAAACAACTGGAGAATACTGAGAGCAACTGGAATAAAGAGAAGATGGAATTGCTGGAGAGATTTGACAATGAAAGGAAAGAATGGGAATGTCAATGGAAGATCATGCAGAAGAAAATAGAAGAGGTACTTCTAAACAAAACTCTGAGCATTACCATTTTCACTTGGGGTGAAGTGACATGGAATCACTTAAATTTTTTTTTTCTGAATTTTATCCTGTTTATTATGTCTCACTGGAAGTTTCTAATAGCTAATACTAGGATGAAAAACCTGGGATTAAGCAGTATTTGCAATTGCTCATTTAACAGTCATGAGTAAAGAGCAGTGGGTGAAATGTCACTTTATTTGCGATGAGATTGTTGGCTGTACATACTGCTGCCAGTTCTACTGGGCATGAGCCACACTGCCTATATTATACAAGTTTTTTTCAAGTACACACTGAACAATATGGAGTTTAGGAAAATACATATTTAGTAACAAAAAATTCTAGGTATCGTCATCTGGCAAAAAGGAATCATATGGCAATGTCTGCTGGAGTAAATGGTAATATTAAAAAGAATACATATTTTAAATGCTGCATGATATAGAATCATTCTGGCTAGAACCTGTTCCATTTATGGATGGCTTTTAGGAGAGGAAACAGGTAAAGTAAATAGCATGAAAGTCCTGGCACCACTTGTGTTTACACATACTAACAAACGCTCACTCCCTGCCATTTGCAATGCATCTCCTTCCAGAAATAGTTATAGCAATTATTTATTATTCTTTTATCCCCAAATTGTCCCTGCAGCAGAACCCTGTGGCACTATAATGCATTAACTGAGTCTGTTTGGCTACATATAGAGGCAAGTTTTTTCTTTCACATTTTTCATCTAATATACACATGGAGTAGTTTTTTCTTACTCTCTGCCAACACTGTCCTGCGGCTGAGCAACACAGGAATGTATGGCAGAGATTGCTGACATGAAAGTATGAGAAGTAAAATGGTCAGAGCCAAAGGAATTACAGGCATAAGGCATACACTGCCCATTAAAACAGCCTGCAGCATAACTCCATAATGTCAGCTTTCTTATATTTTACCTGCAATTCTTACTTGTGGACTTTAATATGATGGTCTTTGCCACATTTTTCCTTTTGTGTTAGGACTTTTCTGTGGAGTCGTACCTAATTTCACTGCCAAGGTGAGAATACTCCAAAAATTGGTAATGTGATCTGTGTATGTAGTTGAATTTCATTTTCTTAGGTATATGAAGCGTTTTGGAATGATGGTAATGAAAAGGTATTCTGGCTATTAGTAGTTCTGACAATGTCAATTGATTTCAGTTACCTGACATTGTTTCTCCAAAAACCACATGCGTGGAGAAAAGGGGAGATAGATACATTTTAAATGCCATCATCTGTAGAAAGATTTCCTCAATAAAATTTTCACTACCTTATCAGCTTGTATTTTTATTTGGTAGTTTTCTCTAGCCCATCAAAACCTAACTTAATTCCTGGATTCCTCCAGGAAGACTTTTGTGGTATAGGAGATGATATTATAGTTATGGGATGGTATCATTCCTTCTTACTGCTATGCTGAATTCATATGAAGCTCTCAATTTCTTGGAAATGGCAAAGTTCAGCCTTCCGTTTCCATGAGCAGCTGGGCTTTGGAAGTGAAATCTGAAAGCCCAGGATGAGGTCAAGTGTTAAGTCTCTGAACGTGAGAATTCTTGTCATCCACAGCACTACCCATGAACTAGCCACATGTTCTTCATGTTATTCTTTTTCACTGTCCTTTCAAAAGCTGTTGTGATGGCCTTGTGCACTGTGAGAGGGCAGGCAGATGGCTGTTCAGAGGTGCCTGCTCTGTGCTTTCTTTGTAAGAGCAAGTTAAGAATGAAGGTTTATAAAGAGCCATGGGATTCTTGGCACTGGGAATTATACTATAAGCAGAAGAGATTTTTATGATGTTGCTATTTTTTTCTAATGTATAATTTATCACGGTTCCTAGTTTGAATGTGCTGGGCGACAGGAATTAACACTTTTTCATTTACAAATGAAGCCGTTGGATCTCAGCAGATAGCATGAAAGAAGAGCGTGACAGTGCATTGCCAAATAATACTGTTCTGCAGTAGTGATTTATCACTCCAGTCAGAGGGAAGAATTCCACTTGCCTGAGAACCAGAAAAGTCTGCTCTAGTGCAGATGGCACTGTATTTGATGTGAATTCACTTCCTCTCCTTCAACTAATATACTTTAGTAGGCTGTAACATAGCCAGAACCCTCTCCCTCCCTCACATTCCCCCACATTCCCTATCCATCAGGTCAGGACTGTGTCCACCACATAGTGCAATAAGATTACTTGGAAGACAACCATATGGCTTCCAGCTCAAGACAGCGCCATTAATCTCATGAGATCTCTTCCAATTCCAACCATGGTTAAAACCATGGCAACGAGTTTGTGAATGGTAACAGCCCTTTCCTTATCCGGTGACAATAACGGTGTGTGAGCTATTACACTAGCTGATTCAGCACTTTTCTACAAACACATGTATAAAAACTGTCCAATCAGTGCTACTGAGTGAAGCATTGTTAACAACAGAAGATAAATATGTATTTTACCACAAAGTTCATTAGAATACCACGATTTAATAGAAGGTTCTATTGTTTTTTCAGCTCTACCAGGAGGTAAGACTTAGAAGGGAGAGCAATATGAATGTCCGTGATAACAATGCCATTCAGAGCAAGATGCTGCAGCTGTCTATGTATTCCCCTACTTTGCAAGAGAGTGACACAGTGGAGCTGAACTTTCAACACAATATGGAAAATGACAGAATGGAAAAAGGGAGTTTGCTCGGTAAAACAGGACACGAATGTAAAGAAACCAGAGCCAAGAGCAGAAACAATACTCTGTTAATGGACAATCTGGCCTTTGAGAACCATGAAGAACTTGAAGACAGCCACAGCACCACACCTTCCAAGAAAAATACCAAGAATTATATTGGTGATCTCAATGTAGTAAGTAAAGTATGAGCATGTTTCAGTTACAAGGGTGAGGAAAATACTGAGGACTTTGGCCTGTCAGGTTAACCTAAAGAACTGATCTCCCTGGTTTTAGCTTTCCAGTAAGTCACTACTTCCTCCTCAGTTTGCTATCAGTGAGTGTCCTCTCACTATTTAAATGTGTTAACAGCATGCTCTTTACCTCTCTTCCTACTGTGGGGGCATTTTTGTATTTTTTCTTGTGCCACTTTCCTCTGCTGTGAGTCTGAAATGCGAATGACCACAGGTTTCAAAATAATTCTGGAGATACCATTTAAAACACTTATATTAAAGGACTGTTTTTATATTTATAAAGGCTCTTAAAGAACTTGCCAGAGTCAGTGAAGAATTATGCAGCTATCAAGAAGAAATTCGAAAGAGGTCCAACCACAGAAGGTAAAAACATATTTGGAATTCTTATATTAGAGGAAGAAAATAAATAATGAGGCTGTGCTCCTTTTGCTGTTCACTTTGAAGCTGGGTTTGCTATTGGATTTATTAGGAGTTGGGCAGTTCCTACCATCCTAGTGTTTCAGTGCTCAGCATAAAACATTCAAATTAAATTTACTGAAATATGATAAAAGAGCATATTTTATTAGCAAAATGGAGTTTTTCTCCAGAACCTACAAATTGAAATTAGTATTTCTGTGAGATGAAATTATACTTGTTTCTAATGGTTATATGGAGGATTTGCAAAGTGAACAGATAGTTCTATCTGCCCTGATCTCATTTTCATGCAGTTCTATACAACACTATATGTGTTTGTCAGGCTGGGAAGTTTCTTACTTAAAGCCCAGATCTAGTCATAAGCATGGGGGATATATCAGGAACTGACAACTCAAGAATGCAAAGAAGGCAAGAGAAGGAAGAACCACCATACATTTGTACTAATGGAGAGATAGCAAGTCAGCCCCTGAAAGGTATGGCAAATGAACATTCCACTATCTGTTAAAAATTCAGTATTTGTTGTCTTCTTTAGCAAGCTAAATACTAGTCTTCTCCTTGAGTTGTGCAGAAATTCTCAGGTAAGGCTGAACTGCTGGTGTGATGGGGTGCTCATGAAAGAGATTGAGAAAGGCTGTCGAAGCTATGCTGAGACCCCATGGAAGTGTGCATCATGGCAAGCTCTTCTCAGATGTTCCCAAAGAGAAGAGGGACTTCTTACACTCCCCCATGCTGTCAGTTGGCTGTCTGTCACTAGTTTATTATTGTAGCTAGGCTAGTTTTTGTATCTTTAAAGCAAATAGATTCATAGCTGACGCGTAGTTTCTAAAGGTGATTTTTTTAACAGATCTCAAAAGACATTTTTACTGTCATGTGTAAGGTTAGGAAACCTATACAAGGGAGGCACTGTGTCCCGAAGCTTGCTTCAGTCAGTTTATAATCAGGTAGACTCATGGGAGTTATTAGAACTCACAGGATTCCTCTGTCCTTATTGTAGTATAGGTAAGAAAATGAACAATCATCTTAAAAACTCAGGAAAAGAATTTTAGTGGCACAGGGAAGGAATACAAATTCCTTGTTTTGATCTTTCGTCAAATTCTTCATGTATGTTTCAGTTATGCTGGGTGTATCAGCTGTGGCAAAACTACTCCCAAATCTCTTTAAGCAGCCAGTGTTAAAACGCCTGCTCATGGGGGAATGAATCCATGATGAGGTCCCCTGGAGGGATCCTTATTGCTCGTCCCTAAAACACTTCTCCTGTTATTTCCAGAATGAAGTCACTTCCTTTCCTGGGGGAATTTGAGGAAACCCAAAACACGGTTATTCTGCCTGAGATGAACCATGTGTCCAGCAATGAATCACAGACTTCAGTTGCTTTTGAAACAGAGGAACACAACAATAGGAAGAATCTGATGAGCTCCACCAAGGCTTTGAAGGACATGTCTTATGGTGGTCTTACTGGTGACATAGGAACAGACTTCAGACCTTGGCAAAGGAAAGAAGCTCCACCAGTTCCTCCACGGAGCACTTCTCGGCACCTAACAAACTCACTTTCTACAGTTGTACAGCTTTCTGAAGCACCAATAAGAGACTCAGGCATCAAAAGCAATTGCAAGGTTCAGGACTGTTGGAGTGGAGGGAAACTGAGGAATTCTTCACCCGTAAACAAGAATGAATCTGCAGCAGCCTGTGCAATTGAAGGACAGGCTGTGAAAGTTCCTGTGATGGTAACTGCTGCAGTACCTGTAACCAAAAATGAGTGCAAAGTTCCAACAAGTTTCTGCCATAACACATGGGCATATGATGTGGTCAAACTTGGGAAAGACAACAGAAGTGAGCCTTTCCAACTGTCAGCCCAAAAGAGTTGTTCAGATGGAAATATGGCCCAAAGCAACAAGATGCATCAAAAACAAAACCCCAAGTCTCACAGCAACCCTTTTTACAGTAATGACTTTTGTACCCCTGCTACCCTGCACAACGACCTTTTGGAAGACACCAGATATACTTTGGGAAAGACCCAAAGAAATGAAATGTTAGCAGCAAAGATCGATGAGTTTAATCGGACTGTATTTCACACAGATAAACATAACAATGCTCTGCAACAAAACCAGGTGCCTCAAACAGCATCAGAAGATCACAAACCCTGTGGGCCACTGTGTGACTCTGCTACTAGCAGGACAGACACTGTAAATACGTCTTGTATTTCAAATCCCAAACTCTCTGTAGCCAAGGAGCAAGAAGCTAGCAACCCCAGCAAAGCTATCAGGACAACAGGGCAACAAAAACAAATGAATGGACTTCCAAATACTAGTGGTTATAGGCACATGCTCCAGGAGCATGACTGGAGACCAAGTAATTTATCCGGTCGCCCGCGTTCAGCTGACTCAAGGTCGAACTATGGTGTTGTTGAAAAGCTTTTGAAAACCTATGAAAAATCAACAGTGACTTCTCCATGTAATGCAAAATGCTGCAAAGATAAGTGGACACAGGCAAATTCTGAATTCACTGATGGAGGTTGCGAGAAACTGAGTCAGTATTTAGAAATGCTCCAGATTGAGCAAGAAAAGCAAGAATTTCCGAGGAATTCAGCCAAACATATTGGGCAGCAACTCAAGCAAGGAAAAGAGAGACAGAAGTTACCAGAGGTAAGGTTCATAAGAATGGCAAGACCAGAAAAATTGTTTCGTACCAAACCTCAGATTCTAAAATGAGGCAGGCTAACATTGTATTGTAAATAATTATGTAGAAATAGACATTTTAAACCAAGATCTGGATGAATCAGGAGCATTTCCTCTGCAGATTATAGAGTTGTAGAAGGGCAGAAGCATGTAAGTGGAGACATGTGCCAGATTCTGATCCCTGCTGCTGTTCTATAAAGCTGTATTTTAACTGCAATGCAGTTATGCAAGGATTGAACTAGTGAGAACTGCAGTCAGGTTTTAACCCCATCTTACCTTCCTTTAGCTACTTCATAAGCCTTCTCAAAGGACTTAAGCACGCTTGTCCATGTCCAAAACCCTGGAGGTCTTAGATAGCATTCTTCAGCATCCAGGGTGCTGCTTGGTTCAGGTTTTCCTTGGAACTGTCTATGACAAGGGATATTGTAACTCCATAAATTTTCCAGTAATAAAGTGACCTCCTCTTACTCATGTCTCAGTACCAGCTTCTCCTATATATTCAAACATACGCTCACAGAATCAGAAGATCATGGCATGACTAATTAATTTATATTTGGCTGAATTTTATTTGCAGAAGTTTAGAAATACTTCCTTTGCCAACATTCTTTCTTAATGAAGAGAGAAACAGATGGTTTGGAAAATATACTATAAATTGCAGGTTCTGTAAAAGTCCGCAAAGAAAGAAAAATATTTTTTCCTGAATTGCTCCTTGGCCAACAAACACAGATAGATATGCCCCTTAGAATCTCAAAAAGGAGAAGGCAGGTGTGTTTTGAGCTGAGAAACTTAAATGGGTTCAGACTGTCAGCTGGTATGCTTTAAACTGTCACAAATTCACAGACTTCAGTGGAGCTATGTGGATTTAAGCAGCTGAGAATCTGACCATGCAGATTTTCTTCCGCATGTCTTTCTGACAGCCTTGCAGTGAAGCAACATCTCTTACTTAGCAGACACATCTTTACTACAGCAAAGAAAGAAAAACCCATGAAGCTTACCATTTGTTTTTCATCTGATAAACTTTTGAAAGGAAAACAATTTTTCAGCAATGGAGGAAAGAAATAATGACTAAATAATGACTGAGTTTATACTGATGTAAGCCCAGAATAACTTTATTAAGCCAATTAGATTTTATTTCTCCATATGCTCACACTTTATATCATCATTTCTATCTGAACAAACTGAGTGTAGAATACTGCCTGATTAGAAGTTACCATTTTAGGTCCGACAGCATGCATGTCACAGAGCTGTAAGAACTGTACATGGCATGAGGCATTTGGTTTATGTTCATTATTTCCAATTCACATCACTGTAGCTATGATCAAAATCTGTTGGGTTTCCTAAAGCTCTGCAGGTAGACATAACACTGTATTAATATGTAAACATTCTGAATTAGTTACCAAGTGTAAACAGCTTCACACTGCACTAATGGAAACAAGAGTTCTTAACAGACTATGTGACTGCTGAAATAGGATCTATCAGAAAATACCTGAAAAATATGTAGATCATACTTCAGTAATATAAGATGGTATTCTGAGTTCTATACTTAAAATAGTTTGCAGTGTTCATTGACAAAAAAAACCTTCCAAAAATTAAAATAAATAAGAGGTGAATGTCAGTTTTGTCTTGCACTAACATTTTATACCTTTCCTTGTGTCTGACGCTTGTCTCCATGTATTTTAAACCACAACTGATGTGAGAATCCCAGTACATAGAAATAGCTGTTCTTTTGCATTCTGTACATGACTGCACTCCTTTTAATAGCTTCCGACCACCTGTTCTGAGGTCACCGCAAATGTCTTCCTGCATTCCCGCTGCATTCCGCAAAAGCCTTAACTTGTTAAAGCAAGGAATTGCCTTTGTGTTCCAGATCTGTGTGCCAGCTAAATGTTCAAGCGAGAAGGGTTTTTCCCGTCCTGCTCGGCCAGCAAATCGACGCTTACCTTCCAGATGGGCATCTAGATCCCCCTCAGCACCACCTGCTGTGAGAAGAACGGTGTACAACTGCTCTGTCTCCTTTCGGTCAGAGACCTCAGTAGTCTGAACCCAGAGCTGGGTTGGATGGTGTTGTGAAAGCTCTACGCCTCATTATAACTGTGTTTGGTATGTGTCATAGCAACCAGTTCTACACTATTGTATTTTGTCCAAGAGTGACCCCCACCATGTGCTGGACAAAGTATTCTGAATCTTAGGTCATCATCACCGTGGTCTTCAGTGTTTTTATTGAGATGAAATAACTATACCCCTGGTTTTCTCTGGGTTTTTTTTGGTAGTAGTTCACAAAGAATTTATTTTGAATGGCATCTTCCTTAATTTGCCAATCAATTTTGAGTCGAAACAATGTATAGTGCTGTATATTCTGACTCTTCTGCAAACAGCAGAACGTAAAGCTGTATGCATGATCATGTGTTTGTAGGTGCATGTGTTGGACTAGGAAGTATACAGGCCTGTACTTAGAAGAGACAAACTGTGCTAGTGTTGACATTGAAATTGCAACCTATATGCCTACGTATATATATACTTCATGTTTATTTTAAAAAGTTTGAAATATACAGTCCTGATGACATTTATATTTTGTATATCTTTTACATAGGTTCACAGGCGTAGTATTTAATGTAAAAAATACTTAAATATTCATTTTTTGTGACTGATTGCAGCGATAATGCCTTGCACAATATGTATCTGAAGCAGACTAGCTCGACTGATTTGTCAGTCATGCTTCATGGCATACTCGTTCGGTTTCCTAACCCTTACGCTAGGTCAAAATACCCAAACATATTTTTTTCTGAATTAAAATATTATATGATTTGTAATACGTTAGCCTTTTTCAGCACCAGAGACATTTCTGAAATGTTCCAATCCCTTTAAAAAGCTTAAATGTGCCATTTTATATATAGCATACTGTAAACACTTTGGTAATTTCAACTACTGTAACATACAATTTATGAAGGGAAGAAAAGGGTTATATATGCTCAATTCTGTAAAACTTATTTTTCCTTCTAGCATTATACTTTGAGGTTTGGCAAAGTCAAATAACAATGGACTTGTTTACTTTCACTCAAGGCAGGAGAACAAACACCGCTGTACCCAGTGCTGCAGCCACACTCCTCTTTTACTCTTCTCCTAGACTAGAGTGCCTGAGCCACTTGCTCGTTTACTGCTCCCCGACTGACTCGTGGCAGTCAGTTACAAAGTTTACTTGCACTCTGGCAACAAGCTGCATCTAGTACGGAAATATTGCATCGAGGTATGATTACAATTGTGCCCAAAATCATAGACACGTGGCGTTGCAAGTATGTTTTTGCCATCACTTGACCTGGTATTATGGGCCATCTGAATGACATGCACAGAGCCTGGGTTGTTCCTTCCCACAGTGTGAGAGAAACATGGATGCTTCTCACACTCTGAACTTTCAGAAAGACAGTGTCTGTTATCCTGGAATTTTTGCACCCTTTCTTAGGCCGTTGCTGGATGCATAGTGCAGTAATGATGATAAATGTTACCTTGAAGTAGCACGTCTAGGTTAAAAGGAGTAAAGAGGGCACTTCTTCAACATCAGCCTGATCTTGTCTTACAACTTTTCTTCTCCTGGAGAAACATAGGATGTTCAAAGGAATTTTAAAAATCATCCCAGGATCCATTAATGTGCACATCTTATGTGAATGTAAAAAGGATTTCAGAGAGAGTGTAGGCTTTTGTCCTAGTGAATTGTATATGTGGCAATATAGGGAAAATTAATTGTGCTTAATTTGGTAGTGATCTGTTGTCCTATTCCAGTCATGTTGAGAATTCATGCCTTTTTCCTTCCTTTTAGGACCTTATTGTTCTTTCCTCTACACAGCTTTGATTTTGAAGAGAGAGAAAACAGGAGGCCATGTGTTCTGAGCAATATAGCCTATATGGTAGCATTGGTAACTGTTTGGGCTTGCCAATATTAGAGCAAGCAGGCTAAATCCCACCTTGTCATGCCATTGTGGCTCTCTGCTTGGCAAAACCATGCCCAGAGTAATTTGCCCTATCTAGACTTCTGGTCCTTTCTAAGTCTATCTCACTACAATATATGAAGACTTCAAGCCAATCAACAATTCATTAAAATTTACTCAGACATTGCAAAGTTCTTGCTGGAAAAGATATAAGGACAGAAAATCTTGAGGAAAATTTATACGGTTTGGATGGAGACAAAGGTCTGTGTGCTTAAGTGAAAAATCAAGAGTTCTATAAATTTGCCTGCTTGCCCTAATTTAGACATTGCACTCCATTAACTTCCTTAGCCCTAAAAAAATTAGAGATGATTCCCAGTGAATTTGGAACATGGCTTAATATTCTAACTGGAAATTAGCAAACCAAAATGCCTTGAAAATTGACCTTTTAATGCCTAAGTAGCTGACCAGCTTTAAATGCCTAAGGCCGAGGAAAGAGTAATATGAAAGAATTGTAAAAAAATATGGTTCTTTATTTCAGTCAGAGATGACTGCAATAACACTCTTTAAATTACCTCTAAGGTAAAGTTAAGCAGTTTTGTTCTGAAAAATAGTGGTGCACTTTTGTTTGAAGTATTTAACTATGAAAGCATTTCCCTTGATTAGTCAGTGAAGGTGTTTCTTTTGTTCCCTTCAGTTTCTTTGGTTGCCTTTGACATAGACCACATTGTTGAATAACAGAGAAAGGATCAAATATCGACAACATTCCCTGATGTATGTAAGTTTAATGAACAGAAGGTTTTTGAAATAAACTAATAGGTCAAGTGCAAGTTCATTTTGTCAAGGTTTTCTGTGTCCGCCTAATTACAGACATTGATTCTGATGCCCAGAAGTATCAAAACTGGTGATTTTGGTTTGCAGGTGGCTAGTTGGACATACTAATTTTAAAAAGTTGTTGCTGTCACTGTTTAAATATTTCTTTCAGCTGCACTCATAACAGGGCCAGTGGACTGTGGTAATTTTTCTAGTTCCCATAACTGTGATTACTGAACCACAGTAATGGCTCTATTCACTTATTTGCTTAAGGGGAAGAGCTCCATTGGGCTCCGTTCCCCTGTATTATTTCTGAAAAGGAAATCTACACATACACACACATTCATGCAAGAAACATAAATGATCTAAGTATAACTTGACCTTCCTATTAATCCTAGTGTCACCTATGGAAGTGGCGAGTTTTGTAAACCTGTTTTTAAAACTGGTTTTTAATATTATTCCTCCATATGCTGTCTGAAGTCTTAATGCAGATATATGTTTTTCTTACTTGCACTCCGAATGAGTCTAAAACTCTCTTTATTGCATGCTTGTGGGCCTTAGTAACTCTCTGCAGACACAGTCAGCTGCCCATTGAAATAGGGATGCCACTAGGAATCAGCTGGCTGGTAATCAGTTGACAGAAAGCATCATTCTCCTTCATGCTGGGAGATGGAGCCATAATTGTTCCTTGAAACCGTTTTAGGGAGGAACATGGCAGGGTAGAAGCACATAGAGTAGAATAATTTAGACCTTATCTGCACATCTACAGAGCGGGCCACCTGGAGGCTTTAAAACTGGCCTGACTCAGCCTCTGCTAGAGGCAGAAGGAGTAGAGAAAAAGAATTTCCTTTAAACCCCCTCGGTATCATTCCTCAAACTCAGAGTACATTTCCACTAGTGTTTTGTCTTTACAGTGTTAGTGATAGACTTCTTGTGTATCTTTAAAATGTTGCTGAAGAGATGAACTCTGCTTGTTCTTCACCAACAACAGAATTATCTTTCACTATTACACACACTGTAAGGGAGTTGGCTGTTATGTATAGGAAAGAACTGGCAATCAGTGTAATATAATTTTCCAGAGCATTCAGAATACCAATCTATTTCTCCAGTTGTCCATTTAAAAAATTGTTTCTGTAAACAGGGATTTTATATCCAAAAGGCTTCAACAGCATTTTTGGAAAAAAGATCTACAGCAATACAGAAGGCAGGACATTTCCCTTACAGTTTTGTTATTTCTGGAATAAATTTCCTAGCATGGAAGAACTTATGCAATTCTCACAGTGCTGCTAATGCAAAGAATTTCTTTGGCTTTGAGGTATGTAACATACAAACTCTAGCCATTAAACTGCTGATATTCTCTATTGGACTCATCTGTAATGGTGAATTTGGTTGTGTTCATGCTCTTTAAACTGAAAGGTGGAATGCATTTGCTCTAAATGTGCTAATCAAAGCCCCTTGTTGCCTCTCTGGTCTTTCTACCCCTTCTCAGTTTCCAGTGGATGTGTATTTTTATGTGGTTTATTGCCATTGGTCTGTATGTATATGTCATCCCATAGGACTTTCTGTCTGTACTGCAGCCAAAATATTTTTTGGACAGCCTATTCTAAAAAGTTGTGATATTACTACTGCCATTCACAAATACATTAGATCTTGATCTATTGTTTTGCATCACTGAAAACGCACTTTCTTCATCAACTGTTAGTGGCATATATTACACAAAACTTTGTTTTTTGAAGTTATATTTAAGCGCTTTTGAAGTTTGATTCTACCCCTCCCCCTTGCATCTTTTGTATTTGCAAAGTGCTTGCATCAGCAGAGACATCTTTCTGATGTGTAGAGTTGATGCAGTTGCTGTGTGGCTGAGGGAGCTCATGCCTAAGGGAGCCTTGCTAACTATGTTACTCTAAAAAGTATTGTATCAGAATTTCCATGGGGTAAGAGAGATTGAACCTTCAACATGATCAGAGTGAAAGTGTGGTATATGCCTTTTCTCTAGTACCTGCAGTCTGCAATATTTCTGTTTAAGGGTCCAGAGTTTGTTTCCTCCTAGTGGTGCATGTCTGTGTGTGTATGGCCAAGATGCACTGAAAAATGACACTATAGGGGAGTCCATACATCTTACACTTTTAAATCAGATTATCTAATGTGTAAGCCCAAAATATTCCACTCTATTGCATGAGATAATGGTACCCTGTACTACAGAGTAGATTTGATCCCAATATGAATTGGGGGAAGAGAGCAGACACTGCACAGAGAGGCCTAAAGTATATAATACAAACAACTAAGCTGTGCTGGCTGATGTTAAGGGTTGAGCTAATGGGATGAGGTGACTAATCACCTCATTAAAGCCAGAGGTTCTTTAATACTAGGTCTCAGTGGATACATAGACTTCTGCTAACCTGCTAATGTGTCACAGGGATTGTAATGCTGAGAAGCCTGATTTTGATTGCTCTTCCACCTAGAGGGATGCTACTTACCTGTGGCAGATTTGCCTACAAAGTCGTTTGCCAGTGCCCCTTAAAATTCCCTAAGTTAGTTTACTGCAACTAGAAGAATTTCTAAATCATATTCACAGTAGAAAAGGACTTTCATTAAAGAAAATTGCATTCTTATGTGAACTCTGTGAACATGACCACTGCCAACTGTCATGGTGACACAGAAAATCAGACTGAGTTTTACTGCTATATCATGAGATATCTGCAGCAGGTCAGCTGTTCTGGTACCATATATGATGTAGAGCTGCTTAAGATATTGTTGGAAGTGCACCACAGACAGATATGTGTGTACATACGGTCTGCTTGTTTCTTTGCAGAATCTTTCTGGTTTCCACAAAGATATTCTGTTTGTTTTGGGAGTTTGGGAATTTTTTTCTCCAAATTTACCTGAAAGCAATTGAGCTACCCAAGTTATTGCTGATAAGAAGTCTCATAGGTGTTCTTCCGAAACCAAAATATCTACTCAGAGAAGTAGCTGGCTACCAAAGGAGGTAAGATGGTAAGATCTAAGTTGAACAAGCCAGTTCACAAACTGGCTCATACGCTGTTACATGTCTGTGTTTCCTCCAGGAAATCCCACATGTCCAAGGCAGCTGGTTTTGCCATATGACACTATTTACTGCATATAGGAGTACCATAGTCACACACATAGCACATACAGAAAAATGATGTCTAATACTGTATGTAAACAGACTCCTCCCAAAGAATGGTGCTGAAATGCTTTACATTAAAAACAGCATGTGACTTAATGAGATCCAGTAGTTTTTGAAATCCCACTTTCATATAAGTAAATGCAATCAAATCTTTTAATGAAAGAAACATGCTTATGCATGTCACTTTTTCCTTCCAAATATTGCAAGCCTGCCTTACAGCTCTGATCCTAATTTTGCCTCATGTACTGCAGGGAAAAAAAAAAAAAAAAAGAAGGGAAATGGAAATAGAGATAGTCAGAAAAATCCTCTGTCAGTGCCTCTAGCTTAGACACTGCAAAATGACTGGTGCTGCTCTCACTGTACATAGATGAGACTTTGACAGCTTATTATTAAACAGTATTGACCATGAAAAGAAGATGATCTTCCATTTCTCCTCTCTGTAGTTTTATTCCTTCCTTCTCTCTTCTTCCATCAGGAGGTGACAATTCAGCCACCTAAGGAGAAGTAGGCCTGGCAAAAAAAGCTGTGTGGAAGCTTCTCTTCACTTTCCAGCTTCTCTTCAGCAGGCCTCCAGACCTGCAAAACACATCATGTTTGAGACGATGTGAGAAGCCAGAGAAAGATGCCTTTCGGGGTCTTTCTGCAACAAGCACTGCATCAGCCAGTTTGGGGCTGAACAGTTTCATGGGATTTTTTTCCAACTGTAGTGTAAAAAAGCTTTTTCCTCTTCTATGCAGGAGTCTGTCTTTAAACCACCTCTTGGATGGGTTTCTGCAATTTTAATTCATTTTACAGCAAAATTTCACAGCAGTTGGGACAGAAAGTGAAGAATTCGTCATTCTCTATTGGAAGTTGGCCAAAAGCTGAACCAGATGTACAAAGGGCCAAGACGAATTTAAAACTGTTTAAAAATCTTCAGCCAAAGTGATCTGCAGTCAGCCCACCAAGGTTTTTAGAAGTCAACTGTCTCTTTAAGCTTGATTCTGGGAAATAAACCAACTTGTTTCTGCTGTAGTGAGTGGAAAGTGGATGATGAAAGTAATTTGCAACATTCAGAAATGAAGATAACAGTGCTCTGGTGATTTAAGTAGCTTTATGCTGTTTGCACAGCCTCCTATGAGGATAGATATTCTGATTTTCCTAGGATGCCATTTAGTGCCAGCCCGCATGTGTTTTGGTCTAGACTGCTGTCTCATAGGAGGTATACTTTTATATATATATACCTGGAAGAACCAGGCTGATGTAATGCTGGAGCCACCATCTCTGTGATCATTTGAGAAACATTTGAGAAAATCAAAGCTCACTGATTCAGAGTGCCTGCTTTCCTTTTATGTCTGTACGCACACAGATATGTACACATCACATGCACATATACACTGATCAGTTTTTTTTTTCTGCTTCCGTCTTGGTTTTGCACTGTATGGAAACCAAACTGAGGCCTGTTACAATCGGTCTTAGCCAAAATGGAAGAAATAGGGGTGTGACGCTGGACTTGGGACCCCAACAAAAATCCCAGTGAAAGGAAGTGTTGAGACATTTTAGGGTAGGGAGTTGAACCAAGTCATTTATCATTCATTTCAGCTACAGCAGCCTAATCCTTTCTTATGCTATTTTGTTCAAACATTATAGATCTTACTCTGTCTTTACAGGGCCAGCATGAGTATATTTATGTTTTTCCCTACCTACATTGTCCTGTGATTTGGAGAAATACAGGCTGTAGAAAAAGGACTTCAATTAACAGTGAAGATTTCCCCAGTTCAGGAAGATTGGATTCGCTTAATTCACTTGGCACACAGGGGTCAAATGTAAACTATGTCTGACAGGAATATATTGGAAGTTGGAGAGGAATTGAATCTTCAAATTCAGATTTCTGGTTTAGTCTAATTGCTGCTTGAACCTCCCTAAAATCCAACCCCAAATTTCATATTAATCTGCCAGTCCTGATATCACCCACAGAGTTTGAATTTGGAATGGCTGCAGAGGGAAACTTTACATGCATGTATAAGTATTATCAGTGTGCAGAGACTAATGAATCTCAGAGCACTTCATGCAGCTCAATATTTCCTGCTAATATTTCACACTGGTCATCACCACTCTAGCCTGTAAGACCGACTGTGTAAAAGCTATGAATGCATAGGATAAACAACAACAAAAATACCAAAAAAAACCACATAAAAAAAGTCCAAGCTCCAGCCACACCTGGGACATCTCTATTAAAACAAGGAAGCAGATACCAGCTTTGCTGCACAGGTTTCACCACTGATTACTTATTGCCATAGATAGATTTGGAAAGAGAATGGTCTCTTCCTCTTGCACAGAGGAGCATTAGATGAAATTCTCTGTGTTTATAGCCGGATTCCCAGGTTTGCACCAACTTTCCTGAAAGAGCAGCAACTGGCAGAGCTGAATTTAAATCGGCTCTTGTGCCATAAGTGGATGCTGATGTCATCAGTTATCATCTTTGCTCCAGAACTCCTTGCTGTTACTATTGACCAAGAAAGTCAGGAGAAAAGAACCATCTTCTTGACACCCACAGCAAGTTTAGGGTTGTTGAAGGGTGACACTTACAGTGTTTCTTTTCCTAAACACAGTAAAAAACCCCAACAGCCACACTTTTCTTTCTGAAACACCGTGTGTACCCACCTAGTCACTGCTATCTAAATTGGTTTTCATGAGAATGGTTACTTACCATAGACCTTATGTATTACAGAAAAGGCCAGTTGTAGGATGTCAGGAGTAAGGAAATGCCACACTTAGTTTTCTTATTTCTTTGGCAGAGATACAGGGAATTTGGTTTTCATTACACACGCAACTAAGTTGAATCAAGAGGAGGGGTATTCACTCCATCTCCATAATTTCAGACAGGCCTTGATCTGCAAAATTCTTTAATGCTATCACACAAGAAGAATTTCTGATCACTACACTTTGTTTGGAGGTAGAATAAATGACTGTGATCCAGCTAAGTAATACATTTGGCAGTTGGAAAGACCACTCTTCTCTCCACAAGCAGCTTACAGTGTGAGAGTGTGCTAGATATGAGATTTTAAAGCACTGCACTGGTACGTGTTTATCTTCTGACTGTGTTTTCTATAGTCCTGTGGAGCAAGCATTAACAATCTCATTTTTGAAATGCAGGAAAATGAAGCAGAAAAAGAAATAGCAGGGAACTCTTGACTTCCTGGGGGTAAGTGGGAGGAAGGAAGTGAAGCAGATCAGAGCAGACACAGCTGTAGCAATGTAAGAAATGCCATGCTCTTTTCTATTGCCCTTTGGAGAGTGAAACCTGCATCGCCTAACAAGCCAAAAGCTCAGACTGATGTCAACTTACCTAATGCTGGGGAAGGGAAAACCTGGCTGATTTTGCATTGAACTGGGTGAGGGACTTCCATGACTCATTCCAGCAGCTCTTCCTGGGAAGGTGGGTGCCTCCTGCAGAGGCAAGGGAGGCAACTGGTGAGAGGGGATACCTGCTACTGTGCCAGAATCATTGTGCTTGCTGTGACAGCTCACT